TTTCTAAGTCTTTATGTAGGTTTCTGTACTAATTTTTGTCCATTTGATGTAAACTTACCTGTGTAAGAACTTTATGAATAGATCAGTGCTTGAGTGTCTCTGGTTTCTAAAATGACTTTTTATTCCTTTTTCAGTTACTAGAATATTGAAAGATTTTTGGAAAAATATTATGGTGTGTCATAGAGAAAAGTAGCATGAATTATATGTAAAATTACAGCAAGTCATATCCTTTTAAGTGACTCTGTCTCTGGTCTTATAATGGCTCTTAGAATTGGCAATCTTTGTCCTATCAGCAGAGTTTCATTGAAAGTCAAAATCTGCATAAAGTTCTCTTTACTTCAAATATTAAGAGTTATAGGTGAGCCATACCATATCAGACTTTATACTTAAAGAAGGAGAAGCCACAGGGCTGGGGATATTGCTCAGTCATAGAGTGCATGTGAGGCATGTGTGAGGTCTGGGTTCCATCCCCAGCACCACACATGTGTGTACATGCACACACACCCCAAAGTGAAAAGCCAGATTGTGTAGTGAGAGAGTTGGTTAGCTCAGATTTGAATTATAAAAGGATCTTATTAAGTAACCCAAGGGAGCTGCTATCTAGTGAGACAGCTGGGTGTACTGCTTCTCTGTGTGGGTACATGAAATAAATAAAATTATCTGCTAGGTATTGTTTATTTTACATTTGTTATTTGCAGAGGAATGTTGTGTGTATAAATATTATTTTATGTCATGCTGCTTCAGTGATATCAATATCTGTATATTTGTATTCATATTTTTATCTATTCCCTGTATTACACAGTGTAGGGTCAGAAAGCATGTTAACCTCCTCATATTATCTATAATGGATCGCAGTTATTAGCAAGCATCCAAGACTTGTTTGTGAGTTGCTGCTGGGAAATGGTAGAACAGTTTTCTTTGTGTCTTTTCTGATTTCTTTGTTTTTCTTTCTTTTGGGGGAGGGTACTGAGGATTGAACTCGGGGGCATTCAACCACTGAGCCATATCCCTATATTGTATTTTATTAGAGACAGGGTCTCACTGAGTTGCTTAGTGCCTTGCTAAATTGCTGAGGCTGGCTTTGGACTCATGATCCTCCTGCCTCAGCCTCCTGAGCTGCTGGGATTACAGGAGTGTGCCACTGTGCCCGGCATCTGATTTCTTTATTGCACGGAAAAGTAGGTTGGAATCAGGGTAGATATAATCTAGCAACAGATATATAAAAGAGGGATGGAGTCCTGAGAAGGCCCAAAATGGGGCTGTTGTTACCATCTTCCAAGTTATTCTCCTACATTCCATGAGGCTTTTTGCAACTGAGTCTTTCTCTTCACCTCATTTTCTGTCCTTATTCTGAGAAAGAAGTAACAATCACGTGGATGATCTCCTCACAATTTCTAACCTCAACTCCAGACAATGACCTCTACCTTTACTTCACTTTAGTCATAAGCTCCCATGATTACAGCCTAGATATCATCTACACAACCTCTGAAATCCAATATTTTGTTCTCTGATCACAATCATTCACTTCTTCTGAAGCTGTTTTGTTTTTAGATTTGAAGGGTGATTGTTAGTAGTAAATAATGAAAAATAGTAGTAGTAATAGCAAAAATACTCACCACTCTTTATTGAGTATTTACTATGTGTCAGGTGCCAGGGAAAGTATTTTACAGGTATTATATAAACAACATGATAATTCTTAAAGTTTAGATGTTACTATTCCCATTCTAAAAATGAGTATTCTGACATTCAGAGAGTTTAAGTTTCCTAAGATCCCCTAGTCAGTATGTGGTAAAGGCAAAAGTTTGTTTTTAAAACTAGAACAGGAAAACTGCTTCTCCTATGGAATTTTTAAAATATATATTATTAAGATCAGAATTCAATTTCATTTTGAGAAACCAAATAATGTGCATTATAAAAATTCTTGCATAGAGAACTCCCTATAATAAATCTGTGGTTACATTTCTACATATTTTCTGAAATATTTGTCTTTAGATACTAGTTCTAAACCATTTCAACATCTGGTTTAAGTTATGCATTTTGCTTCTTCTATATGATTGTGAAATGTTATGTCATTAACACCAAGCCACATATGCTCTTCATTATGTTTTATTCTTTTATATTGAAATAATTGTTAAAAAATAACATAGTTCCTCTAATCTGTTAACTCATATTATAGCAAATACAGTGTTTTAATGTTAGTACAAAGAGATAAAGAGCCATATTGAAATTTTGGAGGGTCTTACTTAGTCCCTTTTTTTTCTTTTTGCAAAATATCCACTGTGAGAAAAATATTAAAATATGTGTGAAATATTCCCATTGTAGTAATTGGTGACATTTTTGTAACATAACTTTATTGTTTAAGAGAAATTTAAAAGCTTTTTAAAACCTGGGTTGCCTTGCTAAGGACAATGGCACAAACCTATAGTCCCCATACTCATGAAGATTGCTTGAGTCTTGGAGTTAAAGGCCAGCTTTGGCAATATGCTGAGACCCCGTTTCAAAAAAATAAAATGAAATAAAAGGCTAGATTGTCTCAACCATTTTAAGGTCTTTAGAACAGTTTCTCTGCTCTTAACTTTTTTTTTTTTTTTTTTTTTTTGGTACTGGGGATTGAACCCAGAGGTGCTTTACCACTGAGCTACATCCCCAGCCCTTTTTTATTTTTTATTTTTAGACAGGGTCTTGCTAAGTTGCTGAGGCTAGCCTCTAACTTGCAATCCTCCTGCCTCAGCTTGCTGAGTCACTGGGATTATAGGCCTGCACCACCTGTCCCAGCTGTATCTAATGATTTTAATTTGAATTTTCCTAATGACAAATGATGATGAACATACTGTTTTTTTTTTTGTTATGGTAAAAAAACACATAACGCAAGCTTAATCACCTTACCATTTTAATTATACAGTTTAGTAGTGTTGAGTACATTCACATTTTGTGATTTGGATCTTTTGAACTTTTCCATCTGGTAAATCTGAA